TCAGACGCGTTTTTTTCAACGTATAATTGAATTTTGAAAGATTGTTAAAAAACGTGGTCTCATAATTTTAATAAAACTATTACGAAATGGTCGGGATAAAGTTTTTTAGTTGATGTTGAAGTATTGGTAATCCAAAATAGAAAGAAATCCCAACACTTTCAATCAAAAATAATTCGTGTCTTTTATCTTGTTTACTTATTTATTTATCTTCATTTAATGCAGACTGTGACAATTTTTCGATTCATTTCATATATATGAAAATGATATGTTTTCTTAATATACACAGACCGAAGACAATAATTAGTTGAATGAAATTTCTTCTCACATCACTTACGTATACGCACATTCTGTTATCTTAACACCTTTTCGTGTCATAACACATGCCTTGTCCTTATGTGTACAAAAACAATTGGTCGTAACCTTGAATTTACTTTGTAATCCTTAAGTCATTCTATAGCCTAGGATAACACGACAATTTCTTATTCTTTCTCTCCCCTTGATTATTTTTAATTGAACTTTTATTTGGTTGACCTTTATTATTTTCATGTAAACACGTCTCTTACACATTAATGCAAATACCTATAAAAAATCCTTCACGTTGATTGGATGACTTATTCAGTATACAGTAAACCGAAGAACCTTGTACCTATTTATATTCGATGATTTTGTTGTTTGATTACATTTCCCTTGAAAAAGCTTGGACCAGATTGCCAGGCGAAACGTTGGATTTACTTAAAATTCATTCGCTGAGATTTTACAAATATATATTATTCCTCTTTAATGACTCACGTTAACTCGGCGCCCAGATATTGTGAAACTATTCGTTCAAATTTAGACGAAAGTTCTTATTTAAACCATAGTCCTGTTTCTATACCTGAATAAAATTTCGAGTAATGTTCGTAGACGATTTCAGAACTGTGAAAATATTTTCTCAAAGCTGTCTGCAACATTAAGAAGTTTGAATTCACACCTTCCCTCCAAAATCGACTGAACTAACTAATGTCTATTTTTACTTATGATAATAAGACATTCTTTCACTAACTAGTGATTGTTTTTATTCAGCAGATTTTAGCCTCACTTCTAATAACACAGTAATCATATTTATGTTCATTCGTTGCCAGGTGGTTGAGGGGAATCAACAGAAAAAATTCAGAATAAATTTTAAACAACATTAAGGATCAGGGAATCATGAAATTGGTTACTTCTTGGTGGTCAATCATCGTAAATGAGTATTAGTTTTATGTTAACTCGAAATCTTCTGTAACGATTATTTTAAGCTTAATGAAGAGAATCTGTTTGGAACTATTTGAACTGACTATCCAATCGTGTCAATATAGAAAGTCCTTGATTTTCATTCATCATAATACTATTCAATTTCAATAATATTTTAAAGCTTTATGTTTTGCTTCTGGTGGACAGTGTACTTGTCATCACTGGCCCATGATAAAATTATTTAGAAAAAATTCATTTGAACAATAAAATATCAAGAAAAAATTGAATAATTTAGCTCAGTTTACATTTTAAAAATTGTTAAAATCAGCTTGAGTTGGTTAATTTGATGAATAATATTTCTAATAGTCTAATATGTGTACTAAAAATTCAATCTGGAAGATTTTTACTTATTTCTGTGTAGATGATACATTCAACAAAATTTCTGAAGGGTGCCGAATGGTTTTTAACTGGTTCTTAGATTATATCAGTCTGTAATGTCAATCATCATGTTAGTAACTTTTTACATTTGCATAAATTGAATGAAAACTAACCAATATACAGTTGAACAAACCGTATTTCAATTAGTTGAATTATTTGTTCTGCTTAGTCTACACATAAGATGAAGTGACTTATAACATATCAAAATGCATTATCTAGATAATTTAGTTAATAATGTGAATAACTTTAAAATTACAAATTCCTTCAAAATACTTGTTAGCTCATAATTTATTGCATTTCTGCAATACACAAATGGGTATTTTCAAAACTATATGCTAAACTTTTTAAACAATGAAAATAGTCATCATAAAAAAGATGACAGCTGAGGTTTTCTGTAACGTTTAAATGGTCAATTAATTGTCATGTCTAGCAGTAACATTCATGTTCTAGCTCATTTAGAGGATGAGTGATGCATATCAGAGTGTTATTTCCATAAAAGATTTCAATTCAAGGGGATGGAGTTATCCACACCTATCTGCAATGAAAAGGTTCGATTTAATGAATCTAGATATACAAAATGAAAAATATTGGAAACTTTGGAGCTTGAAATGAAAGCTATGATGTAATTACACTTCGACACACTGCATTCATCGAATAAATCAATGAAAGATTATGGAAGTTGGAAGCTGAGAAAAAGACAGTAAATATTAAGAATGTTGCAGATACCCGTAGCTAAAAGAACTTGCTATTTATTAAAAACCTAAGAATTTATAAATACTGTAATAAGTTAGTTATCAATGTTATGGGTATAAATTTATTATTAATTTCAATCTACAATATTCACCTATTGTATATATTCATAAACATAGGTTGATATATAGATTTTATTTACTATCCTTAAGAACTAAGCGTAAAATTCGTTAGGATCACGTTTATCAATGCCCATGATATTCTCTTGTAACAATCAACAAATGGTCGCGCATTTATCATTACTTAGCCAATTGATTTTAATGATATCACAAAACAATGAACAATCAATCATGATTAAGAACATTTGTACTATAAATTACTACAGACTACTCACTATGATCTATAAGTCATTTATTTAGATATGTGACTGTATATTCAGTTGATTTTCAAAATACTCTCTGCCTGGAGCTCTTGTAGCGTTATTGCTAGTCCCAAGCCCCGACAAGAAGGAATGTTAGTCATAGGATTAGCCGTCTTATCCTGTAAAAAAGAACCTTACTAAAAACACGCTTACTAGAGCAAAGTATATAAACCGCTTTTGAAATTATTTGTCAATTTATAGAATAGATTATACTTAGATACATATTATATGCACGAATAATTTATTTTCCAGTTAAAAATAAAGATTTTTGAGTGAAACAACATTGGTAAAATAGTCAATTATAACGAACAATTAAATAATGATGTTGGAGAACATTTAATCGATTGTTGCACTCAAGTTATTTTAAATTCAGTTCACTGCTAATTCCTTTTTAATATTCTGTCATCTTATCTGTCAATATGTTTTATGATATGTTAACAATAGTATAAAGTAATTAGAGTTTTATATAACAAATACTTTAGTTATATTTTAGTGAACTTAAAAGTAAGATAAGAGAATCACGTTGAAAAAACTATTACTTAATAACATTTTATACTGCGTAAAACTTGAAACAATTCAGTTAACTATTATATGATTTATTATTATTCAATGTGTAAATGATTGGATGGACCGGGATTACAAATATTGATCATTGTTCTTTTCTGTATTTAATTAGAATTACATTTATCTCTTCAATGGTCGTAAAATAATGTGAAAATGTGATTAGTTCTAAATACTACAATTCTTAAAAGTTGTTACTTTATTTAATATGTCTAGTAGTGTATCCAATAAATACGTGAATTCCGGTCATAAAGACCTTAGTTTACATATACTTAGGTAGATCAATCTTATTCACCTCAAAATACTTCTTGAATATGGAAATATATTTATAAAATTTCTGTTTTCATGGTTTCACACAACTGTTGAAGTCCTAGAATATCAGACTGTTATAGCTGCTTCATTGCCTCGTGATGTGTTAGATTTGTTTGTATAGACCGGTCTCTCTGAGTTCACTTAATCAAGAATCATTTGGACAACACATTGGCTATCAGAAAATGTCGAAGGCAAAAAATATTTTCTATTGGTGCCTTTTTTTATCATGTTTTAATTTTTGAAGTACCCACTAGAATATTCTGCCAACGCGTTGTAAATAGTTTCCGAAGTCTAGTGAACTTATTAAACATTTTACACAGTTTGCAACGAAATAATGATAATTTTATTTAGTGTAACCATCAGACAGATTCATTGATTTCTCCTGTAATGAGTATGAAACATAACCAATAACAAAATGGTATTCAACTATAAACGTTTTGGACGTTAATATTATCATTACAATATTTATTTTAAAATAATATATTTGCTGGATAATTAATGTTTGATTGTTTTTATACAAGAATAAATTTTAATATATTTTCATCTTGTTATCTACTGAATGAATAAGAAAAATGTTTTATTTAGAATGAACAACATTCAATGAACACTGGTTCACAGAATTTCGAGCAAATGTTTACAGCTATATGGATTATGAAGTGAAATATGAAAAAATACCATCCTGACTATGAAAATTCAGTGCCCTATGCAATACAGTTCATAATAGAATGCATATTGTAAGAACTTGGGAGATTAGGATTTTTATGGGAATTTACCAATTTTTAAAGTCTATATAGAACAATACGAAAAACACTTGACTTTTTATAGGTACAAGTTAAATAGTAACGCTTATATAAATCAGTCACATCGTATTTATCTAGCAAATCAGTTACAATTGACAAGCAACTAAATACCAAGAGGCTACTGAAAAATCCTACAATGGAATTCCTCAGCTGTCTTGCGGCTACCGACTGAACTGTAAAAATAATCTTTTTCTATACGGAGAACGATAAGGATAGATGGAAAAATTTAAATTTAAATACTTTTAACATATGTATATTAGTATAATGCAAGAAATGTAACTGTAATGCATAACTGTCAATTACAAATACAATTTAGAAGATGATCTACTTATCATTTAACCAGCTCATGCCTCATTTTTTTTTATTATAAAACTCTGTGGTATAATTATGGATCTCTAAAAATAGGGAAGATAGAAGACCTTGCCGATCTGTATTGAAGTGAGGTATTCATTGACTATTCCTTCAGTAATTCATTATTGAATAAGTAATTGTTCTACCAAAAACGCTTTGTATGCACATAAAAAATAATAGATTTTCAAAAAAATTATCCACAACTAATCACTTACTTTTCATTGCGTTTCATTGAAGTTTGTCTGTTTATATTAAAGACAACACTCATGCGTCGACCAACTCGTGTAATTAAGTCAGAAGGACGACCTGTAGAATACTGATGATTTGACATAATACTAGTTAATTCCAAGATTGATGTAAATGTTAAATATACAATGAGTAGTGTAAGAATATGTAATATATATAAATTTGTGTTTTAATTAATGTACTAGTACAAAAATCAAATTACTTTGCTATTTGTTAGTAGATACAACTGAAAGGACTGAAGCGTTGACGTCCAGCTGTATAAATTAAGAAAATGAAAATATTTAATCCTAAATGATTCTAAACTACTATTAAACCTTAACCATGATTGGTTAATTTTCTCTATTTACAAGCTTATGTGATTGGGTAATTTTGATTAGTGCGTTACTTTCTTATTTATCAAAAAACGTAACTAACGTATTTTATTTCATTGTATATGTCAACTGGTTCAGTACATGTAAACAGTTGCATAATACAAAACCATTCACGAATAATCAGGATTAAAATGTTTGCCATAATATGGTGTTGATAAAATTCAAAAATTAAAATTTCATTTTAAAGCTTTTTGGTGAAATTACTATAAAATGATTGCGTGTTAATGTTTAATAAAAGACAATGACAGAAAACTGATGACGATAGAATGGGTTGAGGAAATTAATACCAGGAAAGACTTGAATCATTTTTTTCTCTCAATTTACATATACTATTGATACATACAATAAGTAATTAACGTATCGGTATTCATAACCAGACAGACATTTTTAGCTAAATAATAATGGCCTGTTCTTGTAATCATTCAATAATGAAAACAAATATTTGCCAAAAAATTGTTTAAACTATTATAGAATATTTTAAACAATAATAAATGGACAAAAGCTCAAAATGAATGGAGGAAAATTTAAATATTTTGGTTTATTGATAAAAATTCATCATTTTGTATGCCATACATTCACTAGATAATTTCTTTAAGCGTTTTATCATTAAAATAAAATTCATTTGACAATTATGCGTTATTTCGTCGAATGTGTGTTGGCACTGATTACTGTAGTGTAATTATGGGATTGTATTTTAATGGTACTACAGGCAACAAAATCACATTAAAGTCAAGCTGAATGGATTACTTCTCTACCGTATATGTTTCATAGATATTGAATATTAAATCCCGAAAAAGGTGTTATAAGTACATAATTATTAATTAGAGTAACTAAAAAGAAAAAAACAATGTACTAGATTATTGTACTCTTATAGGCCAGTTTGTTTTCGTTAACTATACATTTACTATATGGGTTTTTTCAATGTTGAGTAAGTTTGATTGGAAATACGTGATGAGTTAGAAATGCAGTCACTTTAAATTTCCATTTACTTGCAAAGTGATATGAATAATAATAATGAATCTTTAATTTTACAGTTGAGGCAGTCATCAGAATTTAATCAACAATTTTCGAAATCATGATTTTACGCTGATGGATAATGTGAACAGATCGTTCCATGTTATCAAGTGGTACTACTTTGTGACCATAGATTTGAAGCTATTTCTGATATTCACGAGGTGTAACTAAGTATGAGCAATCGAAGCAGGCGGAATTTTATAAACTGTCAAAAGGGATTAATGGATTGCAGGCTTTAACATTACTATGGAAATTCAAATAACCAACACAAATGAATTAAATGTGGTCAGTATTTAAGCAGTGAAATATAGAAATGCAAGTTATTTTAAATAACAATATAAGTTTTATTTGGATTTTAAATACCGCTAAGATCACAAACCGACATAAGTTGGACAACTCTTTGAAATCAGGAATCATTAAATAACCTTTTCATCTTAATATGGTACTCCTCGGGGATGAGTAATCAAGACCCTGTCGAGGATTGAATTTAGGCTCTTCACAAAAACCATTGAATGATGGACCAGTGATCTGAAGTTTAGGCACTCGCGTCGAGATATGAAGTTACCGAACTCAATCTTTGGTAAGGTCGTGGAAACGAACTGTTGTACAATAGAACGAGACAATCATCCAGTGCTCCACGGTTTTCAATTGATATCCAACTTCGGTTGAACTGTAACCTTAATGAATTTTCAAATGATCCATTAGGCAGCATGAAAACCAATATATATTATCATTCGCTTTAATCAGCTAGTTAGTGCCTGTTAGTTTAATCTTCATTTGGACTTAACACTGAATTCCCTGATACCATTTATATTGTTAAGAAAAAGTTAGTAAATGAATCACGATTTCCAAAGATGAATAATTTAGGTATGGCTTTTCTAGTATTATCTCTTTAGAAAACTATAATTTTACAATTGATTATCTCAAATCACTCTGATCAAGATATTTATATACATTTTTAAAATTGAAACTGCTAATTAATCTGAAAAATTCATTATCTAACAATTCAATTATTCAGTCTGTTTGTATAAAGTAGGCTGATGCATGGCGCGTAACACAACATTCAGTCAACACACCACAAATTAAATCCTTAAATGTCAGTTGCGTTTTGTTATAGAGTTGCCATCTATTAGTATATATAAATTTTCTACAGTTTGATAGTCAAATTAAAATGTCGTTTAAAGATCCCGGTGAACTAAATTATCCGTAATGGCTCATATAATTGATTAATTGGATCTTCTTATTGTTGTTTAGTACTTCAACTGATCAGTCTTTTTTCGTATACTTGTGCATCATGTACACATTGCTTCGATATTATCATTAAATCACAAGCATTTTAAACAGAGATGGATGATGGATAGCAATAGAATCCAGTCATATGTTCCACTCTTTTTGAGACTTACAAGTTGATTGTATCTGGATCACTAATTTAATGTTCGTTCCGAAGCTTAAACCGGGTGACGTAAATCCCTCTGACGAGTCTCATATAGAACAAGACCCTTTTCTTGAGTAACAGTGATCCAAACCCAATTGCACAACGCGATAGCTATCTAGATTCAGTAGCTAAGTAGGTAACGCTATGGCATTTAAATTCAACGGCATTGGATATGAGTTATGTAGTGCACTACGTAATGCAGTTACATCCAGCTGACGAGTCCCAAATACAAAGAAGAACACATCCTAGATTCAACTGCCAGCCACCCTCTATCACTACCTAGAACTCCTTGCGAATTGTAATTATATTTGCTTCCTAACAGTAATTTAATTTCCCAACTATTGTGATATATAATCAAGAAGAAACTTTACAAGCTGAACAAATCCTAGTCATTTATTCTTTCACTTAAACATACATTGTTATATATGAAACAATATCTAGATGACTTAAATAAATTCATCAGTGCACGCTACTGTAGAATTCCTAAAACAGGACAATACATACATTCACAGTTATGATGGGTTTTAATTGACCAGCAACTAGCAAGAGTTTATCACATAATATCAATATTGTATGGTCCAGTAAAAAACGTAAGGTGTATATTAGGTACATCTTGCTGAATAGTATCAAGTGGCACGATATTTTGGTCAAATAAATGATTCTGTTGACTACGATCAACCACCCAACCTGGGAAAAATTGTTTTTTTTTAAGGTCTATACAACCTACACAATCCAAGTGGAATTCTCACTTATACCGAAAATACAGTCTGTATAATTTTAAGATTATTTTCTCTATGAATCAATCGCTGAATTAATAAATATGAATTTTAAGTTGAGTAGTTTTACATTCTTTGAGCTTAAGAGTTAAACTTAATCATATTTCTTACTGACTAAACAATCTGTTAGTCATTTGTCAAAACAAAAATTAAATTTCACTTACTTGTAATTTAAACTTTATACTGATGACATTGTCTGAAAGAAAAAACTAGTTAAGATTTTATTGTCATTCTTTAGTTCAATGAACGCCATACCAACAAAACTCTTAAGTACAAATTGAATTACACATGAAATACTGACCGTTAAAACAAGCATAGTTTTTTATCAAAAGACATGACAACACACATAGACTCTTTTCATTACCTTATTTTAACCGTAGAAAAAAATATTTTTAAATCTTAGCCAATAGAACTGTTTTTTATTTGTTCACACGCAATAGTTAATTTAAACAGAACTCAAATTCAGTGTGTTTTGTCAATGTTCAATGCTATAAGAAAATTTGATCTTAATTTTATGAAATAAAATACCATAGAAATCAAGTGGGTTGATGATTAAAAATAATTGAAGGTACTCAAAACGGAAAATCCTTTTTCTGAAAATTAAAAACATCATGTGAATTGACACGAAATGTGAAAATAGATCCCTAAATATTCTATGCTTTTGTGCTTCTCATTTCCCCGCAGTAATTACGTAGTTATGTGACAACTTGAAAATAATTGAAGATCTACAACATTCTATTCTCTGACTAGTTCACTAAAAGTATATAATAGGCATTTTAACATGTCTTACTAATATGTTAAATCTGCTGATACTATTTGGTGGTTAGAAAGGCAGTCGGTAGAAAATCTTACTTGGTACTTATCAATGAAACAGAAGTGTAATTTTGAAGCAACTGATACTCCACCGTCTGGGATTCAAAACAACATCAATCACCTTCATCACTTGTATTATTATTATTATCATTATTAATTGATAAACTGAGTAAAATGCAGATGATTCAGATAGATGAAAAAATGTTAACACTGAAAGTATCAATCCTTGATTTATAAGAAGATATCCATCCAAATTAAGACAATATCAAACTACCTATTCTATATATAAAGTTACAATAAAATTGTTATATCTAAGCAATCTAGACAAGATATCGACTTAACTACATATGTTACCCCTCGAGCAGCACAGGCTATCAACAGGGATTCTCCAATCAACTCACTCATAAACTCTCTATTCTAGTTGATTCCAACTGCTATTTATTCTACCCATATCTGCCTCCAATTTCCGGAACAAATTCCTATTCGCTGTGAGCCTTTCCATTTAGCCTTCGGGACTCCAAGTTAGTGCATGCCACGTCATGCAGTATCATGATTTCTGCAGTGTATATAAAACCTACCTCCAGCAACTTTTCCCAATTTCCTCTTCAGCTAGAACCTGGTTTGTTCTCTACCATAACAAGTTTTTGATGATGATGGTGATGATGATCGTTCCACG